GCTTGCTCAGCCTGTTTTCTTATAGAACCCAGGACCACCAGCCCAGGGACGGCACCACCCACAATGGAGTGCTGATGTCGAGTGTCCCCCCCCCCCTCCCCCATTGATCACTAATTGAGAAAATGCCCTACAGCTGGATCTCATGGAGGCATTTCCTCAGCTGAGGCTCCTTCCTCTCTGATGACTCAAGCTTGTGTCAAGTTGACACACAAAACCAGCCAGGACACGCACTGTGGCCGACAGCAACCAACCACCCATAGGGTAAATAAACAAATGCCACCTAAAACATTTTCAAAGGACAGTTGGCAAAATGTGAGTTGTGGTGTCTGAGATGAGAGCCTCATGTTCTATCAAGGTTTAGTAGCTGCATCTGAATAGAGCAGATATCATTGACCACAGCTGATGCACATTTCTATGGAGAAGTATGATGGTTACAACTAACTCCCTAAGAGGCCGGCACAGGGGTGGGGTGGGGTGAGGCAAACTTCTTTGGCAAAGGGCCAAATAGAGAATTTTTTTTTTTTTTTTAAAGCTTTGGCGGCCATATGGTCTCTGTCACGGCTGCTCACTCAGCTGTTGAAGTACCAAAGCGGCCAGCCACAGGGCATGTGTGATGGGCGTGACGAAGAACCAGTAAAACTGTGTGTGTGTGGCTGCCACAATTCCAGTGGCCTGAAATGTTCACAGAGCTTGGGATATTTTCACATTTGTATTGTTCTCAACCCTCCAAAACCCACTTCTGTCTTACAGCCTCCACAGAATTCGATGGCAGGTTTGCCTCGGGGTTACTGATACAGAAAGAGAAGCGCACCCACGGGAGACAAGCACATACTGAGAGCGTAGAGAGGGGCGTTCTTCTGTGGCTCTCGCAAACTTGAAATCATCTCAGGAGAAATAAGCATATTAGGAAAACGTGATTTTCCTCTCTGGGAGGCCCAGGAGGGAGAGGAGGCTGCTGGCTTTGCCCCCTTGCAAATGAATGGTCCAGGGTGACTGGCTCACACATTCTTGCATATCATTGCTAATTCTTCTTCCTTTTTTTCCTTTTTGTGATGTGGTCTCACTATGCAGCTGAGGCTGGCCTAGAACTTGCTGAATAGACCAAGCCAGGCTTGAAGTATCAGGGACCCGCCTGCCTCTGCCTCCCAAGTGCTGCATTAAAGACGCACATCACCGTTCACGGTCCATCTGATACTTGTCTTCCTTTACTTCCTAATTCTCTGCCTGACCTTCCAGTCCTGCTTGGCTGATATACTAGTTAGACTCTGAACCTGGTGTCCCCTCCTTTTCCTGTCTGCTAAACATGCGTCTGTGTCAGCTAAGAAAATGGCTGTTTAAGCCAGGCATGGTGGCACACGCCTTTGATCTTAACGCTTGGGATGAAGAGGCATTCGGATCTCTGAGTTCGAGTCCATTCCTGTCTGCATAGAGTTGCAGGTTAGCTAGAAAGGGAGGGAGGGAGGGAGGAAGAAGAAGGAGGAAGGGAGGGAAGGAAGGAAGGAAGGAAGGAAGGAAGGAAGGAAGGAAGGAAGGAAGGAAAGAAATGGCTCTTTGTTGTACATCGGCCAGAAAGGAAGGAAGGAGAAAGAAATGAAAAAGGGCTCTTTGAACTGTGTCCACTGCTCATTGATTTTAGTTTCATGTTCTGCACCCCCTCCGTGCTCCCGTCGCCTCACAGACATGACTTACTGGGAGATGAGTGTGGCAGCCGTTTGAGAACTTACTGTGGCGCCTTCTCCCGGATTCGGGATAAGTCTCTCGTTACAAAGCTCAGAAGGGTTATTTCCAAGAATGAAATATCAAGTTTATTGAGTGATGCTGTCTGGGGCAGGGAAGATGGCTTTCGCGGGGAGGGGTGGGAGGGGAGACGGACAGGAGCTTTTCTTAGTTGACTTAGCAAGAGCTCTCTTCATAGCAAGGATCAGAAAGTCAGTGTGAACAGGAAATAGAAAGAAGCTTATGGGTCTCTGTACAACCTACGACTCAAACCCAACAGCCGAAATCTTTGTTGTGTTGTTACCATAAAATACTTAAGACTGGATACTTTAGAAGGATAAGAGGTCTGCTTTGGCACTTAGTTTTGTAGGCTAAATCCAAGCTCAAGGGCCACCTATGGCAAGGGTCACGCGGTGCATCATGGGGTAGATAATACCATGGAACACGATGAACGTGGTGAATGTGTGGGTGCATATGGAAGAGCATGCTTTGGGAGATTGAGGAAGAAGAACCAGATTTGTATACCACAGTCTGCGCTTGTGAGTACTGACCTAGTCCCATGAGACTTAACTGACTCCTGTAACTTAGTCCTTTGACAGCCTGCTGCCTTGACCTAGTTACCTGTCACTTGTTCCCAGCTCTTAGAGATCCCAGTACATCTCAATACCGCGACATTAAGGACCCAGTGCATGTACCTTTGGACCTAAACCCGAGCAATAGCAGATGCTGTGAGAATTTCATCATATCGTCTCTGGATTCGCTTTTCATGCCTGGCTTCATTCTTAGGAAGACTTGGACCGCTCAGACTAGAGTGGGCATACCCAGGGGAAAAACAAAATACGCTCTTATCTAATCCTTCCATCCAGAGTCCCAGGACTGGCTCTCATTGGTCAGTAGGAACCACGTGTTCACCTCTGAACCAGTCAGACTGGGAGATACTGATTGGCTGGCACTGGTTATGTGGCCAGGGCATGTTCTGCTCTCCAAACCATGCAGATGAAGACTTGGCAAGGGATAGGCTGGGGCTATCATTGACTTGGAAGAGTATGTGCCTAAAGCCCTGGGTTTGATTCCCAGTACCACATAAACTGGGTGTGTTAGCATATGGGTGTCATCCTCATACTCAGGAGGTAGAAGTGGAAGAATCAGAAGTCCAAGTTACATATCCAAGTTCATCCTCAGCTACGTAGTGAGTTCAACACCATCCTGGGATACGTGAAACATGGTCCCACAAAATCAAGAGGAAACATTGGCCAGGAGGCTGAGGATATACTTCAGTGGTAGAAAATCTGCCTAGAAGGCATAAGCTACCAGCCTCAAACCTCAGACAGACAGAGACAGACACAGACACAGACACACACACACACACACACCTACACACACAACAAAAACACACGGCAGTCCTACTGTGTTTGGTTGTTAACATCAAACAGATGAATGAAGTAGGCACACACCTTTAATCCCAACACTCAGCCAGCCTGGTCTACACAGTGATTCCAGGACAACCAGGGCCACATAGACTCTATCTTAAAGAAGAAAAAAAAAAAAAAACAACATCAGGAATGAAGGAATGACCCCGGGGAGAGCTGGCACTTATCCCACAGCCACTGTGTCCTGCCTCCTTCCTCAGCCAGTTGCAGTCCTGATTTTCGAAGCCACCTCCTGGATGGCTGTACCAGGGTAGCTGTCACCTGAGACCTCTCTAGCCCTGTCTCCAGCCCTGTGACAATGATGTGTCTGCCCTTCAGGAGACACACAGGATCTACAAGCAGAAGCTGGAGGAGCTGACCGCGCTCCAGACGCTGTGCAGCACCTCCATCAGCAAGCAGAAGCGGCACCTCAGGGACCTGAAGCGTACACTCCAGAGGTAAGAGGGGGCGATGCTTGAAAGCTCCCCCAGGGCCTCCTGCCCCCCCCCCCCAATCGTCTCACTCCGTAGGTAGGACTCATCCTCACTCTGAGGTTGACCTTGAATTTCTGGCCCTCCTCCCTCCCTTCCTGAGTTGGGGTTACAGGTGTCGGCCGCCAAGCATGGTTTATGCAGTGCTGGGTTCGCTGGGCTGGAACCCAGGGCTTTGCACACGCCAGCGAGGTGAGCGCTCCACCAATGAGCTCCACCTAAAGGACAGAAACCCAACTCAAAGCTGGCTTAAGAAGAAAGTGGAAATTTTAATGGAAAAAACCCAGGGATAACGTCAGGCATCACTGGACCCAGGGGTCAGAGTGTGTTTCTAGGACTCTTTTTTTCCTCTGAATTTTCTCTCGGTTGGCTTTTGCTGTCTCAGTCACTGAGGCAGCCACCTGCATGCTGAGCTTAGTTCCCTCCAGTCGTCCTGACTGAGGTAGACCGGCTTTCAGCCTCTGTCATTCTAATAATTGTCTGCCGTTCAGACTGTTTGGACACTGTGTGTGCTCAGCAGAACCCCCGTAGATACAGTAGAGCCTCCCAGCCCGGCTGTGATAGACACTGCTCAGCATCGCCACAAGAGAAGCGCCCGCTGAGGAACTCTGACCCGTGAGCTAGGGTCCTAGACTGAGCAGCTCTCCCATTCCAGGGTGTGGTGGCTCCCGATGTGGTTCTGTTTTTCTTCGTTTTTAAAGGCAGGGTCTCATGTAGCCCAAGCTGACCTCAAACTGGCTATATCCAAGGATGACCTGAACTCCCAATCCTTCTGTCTCCATCTCCCAAGTGTCTCTGCTCCTTCACCTTTTTTTTGCGGGGGGGAGGCCAGACAGAGAGCATTTGTTTTTTCAAGACAGGATTGGTTCGTGTGGCCCTGGCTATTCTGGAATTTGCTTTGTAGACCAGGCTGGCCTCAAACTCAGAGATCCACCTGCCTCTGCCTCCCGAGTGTCGGGATTAAAGGCACGGGCCACCACACCGCGCCCACCTCTGTCTCCCAAGTGTGGGGTTTACAAGCCCATGCCACCGCACCCGCCTCCAACTTGGTTTTCTAGTTTTGATAGTTGCGTCTCTCCAAAGAGCAACAGGAAGACCCTGACTGGTTGACCGCTAGTACTTCCTCGTGCCTCTCAGTCAGTCCAGTTAGGAAGCTTTAAGTTCTGTCACAGTAGAGGAAAACAGCTTAGCCACCCACGCAAGTCCGTCAGCTCCTGTAGGCTGAGTATCGTTCATCCCTGATGCTTCACTGTGTCTCCTCACGTCATCTTTCCGTGGCCGTTGTTGGAGGATGCCACCCTTATCTGTCAGGTACGGGCAGTGGCATCACCAAGGCCCCAAGGCTGCAGGGGCTCAGCGTCACTCCCATTACAGGTACAAGCGCCATTCCAGTCAAGAGGAGGCGGAGCTCGTCCAGCAGATAGGCGCCAACATCAAGGAGCGGCAGAATGTCTTCTTCGACATGGAGGCCTACCTGCCCAAGAAGAATGGGTAGGAGTAGGAACCCTCTGATTCCTGTTGCGGGTCCCCGCTCCCTGCTGGGGTGTGAGATTCCAAGGGGGCCACTTCCGTACCTGCTTCTCCCAATCCGGGAGGAGCTACGGTCCTTCCCCTGTGACCTCCCCAGGGTGACTCTTGGGAGCTGGCACCTGATACCTGTGTGTGCCACCTGGGGTAGATGGAAAGTGTTTTCTCTCAAGAGAGCCAACATGTATTGAGTGCATTTTGCATGCCCAGCATTGTACTGGGCATGCCCGTTCGTGGCAGCAGACATTTTATTCTCAATAGCCTACTGTATTAGACTGAAGTATTCTCCCCTCTGTTTCCCCCAGGGGTTGAAACCAGGGCATCCTGGCATGCTAGGCAGTGTTCTAGACTCAGCTACATCCCCACCCCACCCCCCCTTTTTTTTTTCAAAGGAAGGGCCTCACTATATTGCTCTGGCTGGCCTGGAACTCTCTGTAGACTAAGCTGCCCTCAAACTCGAGGTGATCCTCCTGCCTCCGCCTGTTGAGTACTGTAATTACAGGTGTGTGCCACACTCTGCCCTTATTTACTCTCTGTTTTTGAAGCAGGGTTTAGCCTGGCATGGAGTCAGATCTTTCCTGGAGGGGGAAGATTCCTGTTAAGCTTCAGCCAGATGAGTATTTTTTGGTTTTTTGAGACAGGGTTTCTCTGTGTAGCTGTGGAGCCTCTCCTGGATCTCATTCTGTAAACTAGGCTGGCCTGGAACTCAGAGATCCTCCTGCCTCTGCCTCCCGAGTGCTGGGATTAAAGGCGTGCACCACCACCGCCCGGCACCAGATGAGTATTAATATGGTGGCCCCGGGACATTGTGACCCATATCTCAGTTTTCCTTTCTTGCTGTATTTGGATTAAAAACTCCCCACGTTAGTTGGCCATCTTGTTAACAGCACCCTCCCTCCATCATTCATGACCTCCCTCCATCATTCATGACCTCCCTCCATCATGCATGACCTCTAGGACTGTGTTGCTCAGACTCACTTCCTCACCTGTGTGGGCATTTTGCCTCAGGTGAATCCTGTGTCACACGGGGTAGACAACTCAGAGTTGCTTAAGAAGAAAGGAGGGGTTTATAGCTCAGAAAAAATACAGATATAGCTTAGGTATGAATGGGTCCTGCCATTAAATGCTGGTAGAACTTGCTTCTCATTTAACTTTTTTTTTCTTACTGTCTTTTCCTATATGTATGTCTATTTTATTCATAGGCAGCCTTTTTCTGTAAACTACTCCCCAGCCAGGCCAGGCTTGCTCCTAACTGCCTAGCCTTTCTAATAGAAAAAATCTGGCTCCTCAGTGGTCTCGGGGATTTAAAATCCTAGGGTGGGTTTTTATTGGGTTATTGTGTTCCGTGAGATTTCTTACCCCTATCAGGAGGAGGAGGTACTGCTTTTATCAGCTTTTGGGCCATGGTGGAGCCTCTTCTCCGAAGGGATTACATTACTCTTGCAGGATCTAGGGACTGAGTGCTAGGTAAGGAATCCAGATGTCCCCTCAATACTTCACATCTCCTTCAGACTAGCAGTGCTCCGAAAAGCCGCTCCAAGCTGGAACGAAGGCCCCCTCACCCCCCATTCCTCCTCTCCAGCTTCTCAGTCTTCTAAGCTCAGTTCAAATGCCACTGCCTCAGTGAGGTCTTTCCAAAGCCCCGTCACTGATAGGAATTTACCTTTTCTCCCTCAGGGTCTCAAGGAGCCTTGGTGTGCACCTTTGTTAGTGTGTTAGAGCACAGGCTGGTGAACAGAGAGAGGCGTAGCCATGCCATGGTTCACATAAGAGAGCTTCTCCTGGGGCTAGAGCCATGGCTCAGGTGGTTAAGAGCACTTGTTACTCTTGCAGAGGACCTGGGTTCAATTCCCGGCACCCACATGGTGGTTGGCAACTGCCTGTAACTGTAGTTCCAGGGGCCTGATGGCCTCTTCTGCGCACTGAAGGCACTACACACATGTGGTATGCAGGTGTACATGGGAACAAAACACCCATCTACATATGAGAGAGAGAGCGAGAGAGAGAGAGAGAGCGCACCTGAGCATGAGAGTTCACTTCTCTCTGTCATGAAGAATCAGAGGTAAGAGGCCATGTGCCGTGGACTCATGAGGCCATCAAGGGGCCGATAGTTCCTCCGACCGATGCCTCTCTACCCCTCAGCAGCTGTCTTCTTCCTTGAGGACAAAGACAGTTCCCACCATCACAGTCGTAGGAAGGAAAAAGAGAGGGAAGAAAGCAATCCCTTTTTCCAAAACACAGCTGCCATGTCTTGTAGATACCATACCGTGACTCCAACCTACCCTTCTGGCATGCATCCCCAGTGGAAATGAGTGCTCATGTTTCTGTGCTCATTTATGTTGGTGCATGTTTGTGGGCACACACATGTCCTTGGCGTGTATGTAGAGGTCAGAGTACACCTTGCAGGAGTCTGTTCCCTCCTTCTATCATGTGGGTTCCGGGGATCGAACTTGGGTCATCAGGCTTAGCGGCCTGTACTTTTATCCACCAACTCTTATTAGCCTGGAATCTTTGTGTGTGTGTGTGTGTGTGTGTGTGTGTGTGTGTGGTTTTTGAGACAGGGTTTCTCTGTGTAGCCCTGGCTGTCCTGGATCTCGCTCTGTAGACCAGGCTGGCTCACAGAAATCTGCCTACCTCTGCTCCTAAGTGCTGGGATTAAAGGTGTGCGCCACCGCCTCCCAGCTGGCCTAGAATCTTTTTTAAAATTAACCTAGATGTTGGATAAATGTCTTTGACTCTTTGGCTGTAAGTTAGTTACCTGCTTTTGTCTGGCTGCAAAGGAGGCTGGGAGATCTGGCCTGTAAGTTGGCTTCAGCTGGTCATACCGTCAGGAGTGTGGTTACCACGCTCTCTGGTTAACCATTGTTCTCAGCCATTGTGGGGCTCATCTGACGTTAGTTGAGTGTCCTGTTTTCTGATGCGAGACGCTCCGTGTGCATCCACTAAGCTTGAAAAGTGTTGGTTGCGCCCTCACAGGTCTTTCCTTCCAGGCTCTACTTGAATCTGGTTCTTGGCAATGTGAATGTGACTCTCCTCAGCAACCAGGCCAAGTGAGTACGCCCGGATCCCGACCGACCGACCGACTCCAAGGAAGCCAGCCTCTTGGGCCTTTTACTGGGGGACGATGGGTGGAAGCGGCGAGGGTTTTTGCATGGATCAAAACTGGTTAGCAGTTGAGGCTCTGGTTATCTGGCTTTCTGACCCTGCCCACCTCAGTGGGGGAGTGCTTAGGGGACCCCGCCTTTCTTCCTTTCCCAGAGTCAGTATGTTGGTGGATAGGACCCCCCCACCCCCCACCTCCCGCCACCCCAGTTCCCACGAGAGTGACATCTATTCTTTCTTACACCTAATACAGCATTTGTTCTGGAGAATAGAGTCATGCCTAACCAATCTAGGTGACATTTCCAGGTGGCATTGGCCCTTGTGTCCGCTGCAATCTTTAGGTGAGGGTAGAGAACTTGTCTTTGACCCTTGTCTGCCCCCAACATGGCCCCAGAGCCCAGGAGCTGGTACCTTCTGTACTTGGTCCTCTTTCCCTCACTAGACATCACTAGTTGAAGGTCAGGTTCTGCTATAGATCTGTGGGCAGGGTGTGGCAGAGCGGGATGGTAGCAACACGAGACCTTTCCTGGGATGTCCGTCATGGCAGGTTTGCGTACAAGGACGAGTATGAGAAGTTTAAGCTCTACCTGACCATAATCCTGCTTCTGGGTGCTGTGGCGTGTCGCTTTGTCCTTCACTACAGGTAATGGGGCATGGTGGGGTGTGGGGGAGGGTATGGGGGTGTAGGGGAGGGCATGGGGTATGGGGGAGGGCATGGGGTGTGGGGGAGGGCATGGGGGTGTGGGGGAGGGCATGGGGTGTGGGGGAGGGCATGGGGGTGTGGGGGAGGGCATGGGGTGTGAGGGAGGGCATGGGGTGTGGGGGAGGGCACGTGGGGTGTGGGGGAGGGCATGGGGTGTTGGGGGGAGAGCATGGGGGTGTGGGGGAAGGCATGGGGGTATGAGGAAGGAGTCCTCATGGAGGCAGGCTGTTGTTTTCCCCAGCCCGTGGCTAGTACTGGGGAAGGACCAGTTCTGACTGCCAGGAAGTAGCATTCCTGCCCATCCTGCATCCATCTAGCAAGCTTCATGGACCAGCTGCTGGCAGGGCCTCCAGATGTAGTCCTTGATGGTCTAGTGTGGTTTATGTAGACCCTGGAATGGGACACAGTTCTACCATGGAGTGCAATGCTGGTATGCATGGGTGAGCTTTGCCAGCATCATGCTAAGTGAGAGAGACGCCAGGTACAAAAGGCCACGTATTGTATATGTCCGTTGATAGGAAATGTCCAGAAGGGGCAGGTTCAGAGACACATAGCAGGAGCAGAACTCGCCAGGGGAAGCAGGAATGGGGAGTGACCATTCATGGGCACCAGCATTTCCTTTTGAGAATGATAGAATACCCTGGAATTAGTCAGTGGTATAACAAAAATGAGCAAAAGACACCAAATTACATCTTCTTTAAAAAATTTTTTAGCCGGGCAGTGGTGGCGCACGCCTTTAATCCCAGCACTCGGGAGGCAGAGCCAGGCGGATCTCTGTGAGTTTGAGGCCAGCCTGGACTACCAAGTGAGTTCCAGGAAAGGCACAAAAGCTACGCAGAGAAACCCTGTCTCGAAAAACCAAAAAAAAAAAAAAAAATTTTTTTTAAGGCCATGCTGGCCTAGAATTCACAGAGATCCTCAGCTTCTGCCTCCCGAGTGCTGGAATTAAAGGCATTTGCTCCCTAGCCTTTCGATTACATGCTTTAAAAGGGAAAATTGTATGGTATGTGGATTACATCTCGATTTCATAATAAGTGGATCAATAGGGCTGAGGCTGTAACTCAGTTGCTTGCTTGGTATGCAAGGAGACCCTGGTTCAGTCTCCAGAGTCGAAGAAGCCAGGTTTGGTGTTGCAACCCTGTAATCCCAGCTCTCAGAGAGTGGAGGCAGGAGCATCAGAAACTCAAGGTCGTCACTGGCTACAGGAGAGTTGGAGGCCAGTGTAGGATGTATGAGACCCTACCTCAGAAAGAGTAAAGACTGATACATAGAGAGATGGATGCATTCGAGAACAAGAAGAGCCATCCCCGGCTGTCTGGATTTAAATTCGGGCTTTGAGACTGAATGGCTGTGTCTGTGGGCAGGTTCCCTATGGGGTCCTCAGTCTCTCCCTTTGTTGGACAGTGGCAGCAGGCCATAGCTCAGAGGGTTATAGCCCGTCAGTGAGCTCACACTGTGTGTGGTAGTACTCAGTTTCTGCCCATCACTGACTGAGAAGAGAGGGAGGGCAGATAGAGACAGGACCCATACTGCCAAGAGGGTCTGGTCCTCTCCTTTCTCTGCCTGGGTTTTCTGCCGTAAAGGGGGAGGCAGCCAAGTATGGCTTAGGCATTTGGCCTAAGTGTCAAGGTTTCTTTCCTGGCGTGTACTTTGCTGAGAGTCCAGCTGCTGGCCTGGCTACTTGAATTTCCCAACAAAGGCCCTTGCAGGCTCTTAGTTCATGCCTGCCTGCTGCCAGTGCCCGGCTTGTGACCCCGAGGGCAAAGGCTGCGCACACAAGTAATGCCTGCTCATCTGCCCCTCTGAAAGAGAGAGTTCTTGGTGTCCAGTCCAAGGCCCTTACACTGGGGCCTCTGGGTTCCTCCCAGGGAAGCCAGTGGTGTGTCACATTCTAAGCCATGGTCTAACCTCCACCTAGAGCCTGGATGTCCCCATTTCTCCCCTCCTCCTCTTATACACAAGTCTCTAATTTATCTCTTGGACAAAGTTTCACCAACTGGAGAACACAGCAAAAACACTTTCTGTCGCCGCCCAGGAGGCCGGAATAAGAGGTCAGGATGTTGCCGGACCGTGTTGGTTCTGAGTTCCCAAGAAAGCTCTTCTGCGTCTCTCTCCCATGGCCGTCATCAGTCACTGGCATTTTTCAGCTTAAACCCGTTACATTCCGTTGGCTGTGTGGGCTGGATGGCTAGGGACGTAGGTGGGGCCGGGTAGAGATGAGCCCCAGGGTCTGGGTGTAGTAGGCAGGGGGAGGCATCCAAGGACTAGTGCAAACCGTTGGCAGTCCTGGTCCTGGCTGTCCTGTCAGGCCGAGGGGAGAGCTCACGCTGTCCCCTTCCCGGGGGCTGTTTTCTTCCAACTAGGGTGACAGATGAAGTCTTCAACTTCTTGCTCGTGTGGTACTACTGCACCCTGACCATTCGGGAGAGTATTCTCATCAGCAATGGCTCCAGGTAGCTAGAGGCCTGGCTGGGGTGGGACGGTCGTTTGGGGGAACAGGGAGCCGAAGAGAAACGACGACCCCCAGGGCTGGTGCGGTTGGTGTCATGTCACCCACTTTATGGTCAGTCTCTTGCTGACAAGCAGCAGGAACCCCAAGTTGGACTGATTTCGTGTCATTAGATTTGATGTCATGTCCTTGGAAATCTGTCGTCTCATAAAAAAAAACAGGTTCCCCGGGACTGACTTCAGGTAAGGCTTCATTCAGGGCTCGGGCACTGTGAGTGAGACTCAGTTTCTCTCCATCTCTCACCCTCGCATTCTGTGCTGTCTGTTCTCAGGCTCTATGTAGGGTGCCACAAGGACGCTGGGCTTACGTCATCACTCCCAGCAAACGGCACCGTTCCTTTCTTCTGCGTGTCTCACCAGCCTTGTCCCATTGGCTGGGTGCAGGCTGGACCATGTGCCTATCTCTGAACCAGTCTTTGTCACCAGAGAATGCAAGGCTATGATTGGCCAGGCTTGAGTGCAGTGGCCATCACAGCTCCAGGGACAGAGCTGACTGGGGCATCCATCGAGGGAATGGAGAAATGGCAAACACACACACACACACACACACACGGACACACGGACACACGGACACACACACGGGGACACACACACACACACACACACACACACACACACACACACACACACAGAAATAACCGGGTTCAGGTGGACTGGGTTTTCTGATGGGCTCAGGTGGATGGCAGCACTCCAGCAGCTCCGTGTGTTTCTGATATAGAGTTGAACAGAAGAGCTGTGGGTATTGCACGCAGCTGAACAAGGAATCAGGCTACTACATACAGATAAAGAGGCAGGGTTAGGGGATACAGCTGGACCAAGGAGACAGGTTTCGCTGATCTCAATAGGAGCAGTCTCTGTAGGGGAGCAATCTTCAGTCTGGAAATACCTGGGGGAAGAAAGCTCCAGGGGACATTTTCTGCACATGACCACCGGCATTCATACTGGACCAGGAGGGAAGGCTTTGCCGTTTCTCTGAGCCCAGCTCAGGGTTGGCTTTGCCATTTCCTTGGAGGTCTGAGGCTTGGAGGCCTTTGACATGACTGTGTTCATGCCAACAGCACACATTCACTTAGGGCTTCCTCCGCTCCCCACACATGAGCGTCACATTCCCCTGGGTCCATCAGCAGATAGAAGGAAGTGTCGGGAGTGGGGGTGGGTCCCAGGGGACATTGTTCCTGGGAGGACGAATGGATTTTGGTGAAAGGAGCGGAATGTCTTCCACAAGAGAAGGGAAGAGGAGAGTGGACCAGTGATGAGGGTCTTGGGGGTGGGGGGGTCTTTCTCTGAGAGCGCTGGGCAGGCCCTGGCCCCTCTTTGGACTGTTTCAGTGTCCCTGGGAGAGCCACCAGGTCTCAATGTCAGTGTACGAATCTAGGAAGGAGGTTCCCAGTGCATCTAAATTCAGGAAGACCTACTGTTTTTCCTTTATCTTTTGTCTGCTCTTCCCGCCTCTGAGCAGAGTCTTGGATCCCAGTTAAGATCCATGATTTGGGGGACTGGAGAGATGGCTCAGCAGTTAAGAGCACTTGCTACTCTTGCAGAGGACCCATGTGTAGTTCCTAGCACCCATGTGGTGGCTCACAACCATCTATATAACTCCAGCCCCAGGGGACTCAACACCCTCTTCTGGCCTCTGAGGACACTGAGCACACATGTAGAGCACATATATGCAAAACAGCCATACACATAAAATAAAAATACATTTTAAAAAAGGTTTTTTAAGTCGGGCGGTGGTGGCGCACGCCTTTAATCCCAGCACTCGGGGAGGCAGAGCCAGGTGGATCTCTGTGACTTTGAGGCCAGCCTGGTCTACAGAGCGAGTTCCAGGACAGCCAAGGCTGTTACATAAAGAAACTCTGTCTCGAAAAAACCCAAAAAAAAAAAAAAAAAAAATGTAGACTTCAGTTCCTGGGACCCACATAATGGAACGAGAGAACCAACTATAAAGTTGCTTTCCGACCTCCACACACTCCCACCCATAATAAATAAATAAATGTAATTAAAATATTTTTAAAAGATCTGAAATATCCCAGCAGTGGTGGCGCACACCTTTATTCCCGGCACTCGAGAGGCAGGAAGATCTCTGTGAGTTCAAGGCCAGCCTGATCCACAGAGTGAGATCCAGGACAGCCAGGGCTACACAAAGAGCCCCCCGCGCCCCCCCCCCCAAAAAAAAAGAACCCCAAACTGGGTCGTCTGTCAACCCTGCAGTCACGGAACACCGGCTCACTTTCTGCCTGGTGATCTCTTGCAGCAGGTTCTTCCCGCGTGCTCGAACCTGAACACTGAGCCGAGAGCAGCCTACTGAGGAGGGCACAGCCGTGCTTAGGGGCATAAGCCTGCGGCATGCAGAGGAGGTCAGTGTCCTCAAACTGCCCTCCTCCTGGTCCTTGTCCATGCCACTGTTACCCTCTCCGTACACCACCCGGGCCACGGGTTCCTCACATCGTCAGTCAACCCACTCCCCGACTTCTTTATTTATTTGGTTTTCTTTTCTGTCTTTTGAGACCGAGTCTTCAGTAGAAGCCCAGGCTGGGCTCCTCTTGCTTTTGCCGCTGCCCCAGGGGCTGGGGTGACAGGTGTGCACCACCATGTCCTGCGACAGCTCTCCCACTTTTTTCCTGATGGTTATTGTTGAAACGGGGTCTCGCTGACGTAGCCCTGGCTGGCCTGGAACTTATGTAGACCAGGCCGCTCTTGGACTCACAGATCTCCCCGCTTCTGCCACCACACCTGGATCCACCACCACCACCACCACCACCCCTTTTTTTTTTTTTTAACTTTCTGGTTGCCGGTCTCTTCCTGTCCCTGTGAACTTGCTGCCAGGCTTGTCTCTGTCACACACATTAAGAGTGCTGGGCGGCTGGAGAGAAATGACTCAGTGGTTAAGAGCATGGATTGTTCTTATAGAGGACTAAGTTCGATTCCCAGCACCCACACCCATCAGCTCACAACTGCCTGTAACTCTAGCTCCAGGGGGTCCAGCAAACACACACAGTCACACACACATGCATAGATAGATAGATGGGCAGACAGACAGACAGACACATAATAAAGGACTCCTGAGAGCCTGGGTGGTCTTTGGGAGTGGCTTTCATGTTGGAGTGGTTACTCTGCCTCTGTTTGCTAATTTAGTGGGCTTAGCTGTGGACCAGGCCATTACCAGAGAGAGAACAGAATTACCAAGAGAGGGTCCCCTGGAAAGACCAGGCTCATCAGAGGTATTAAAGGTCAGGAGTGTGGAGTTCCAGAGCCACACCTCACCTGCCTCAGTTCAACAGGAGCTTTTCTGGATTCCTTGGAGCAGGAACGAGCATCGGTGTTTATAACCTCGAGCTTTGGGTGTGGGTCTGCTGTGTACGTGCCCCCCTATGCCATTTATCATATGGCAGACACTGGGTTAGAGATTTTGAGATAACTCAATCTTCGCCTCTAGGGATCATCTACAGATGTTTTAAAAGAGGCTTTCCCACACAGTCCCATGCAGTGGTGGGACTGTTTCTCCAGGCCTGGGGGAGGAGAGTCTGGAATAGACCCAGGGGACCCTAGCTTCTAGAATGACCACAGGAACTATGACCAGTCTGTGGGGTGATAGGGCCAGGTGGGCAACTCTGTGCATCTTTTTTTACATTTATTTATTTACTTTCTATGTATGTATTATTTGTGTATGTGGGTGTGCGCAATTGTGCATGTCTTTTGGTTTTTTGAGACAGGGTTTCTCTGTGTAGTTTTGGTGCCTGTCCTGGAACTCACTCTATAGACTGGGCTGGCCTCAAACTCACAGAGATCCGCCTGGCTCTGCCTCCTGAGTGCTGGGATTAAAGGCATGTGCCACACACATCCCCCACCTCGAGCGTCTTAATTTTTTTGCATTTATTTATCTTACTATATGTATATGTGGGCATGCATGTACAACTATGTATGTCTTAATTCTTTACAGTTGTTTATTGTCTCTGTGTATATGGGTGTGCATATGCAATTGTGTACATCTTAATTCCCACCCACCCATTCCCCCGGAGCTGAGGACCGAACCCAGGGCCTTGCGCTTGCTAGGCAGGCGCTCTACCACTGAGCTAAATCCCCAACCCCACATCTTAATTTTTTTAACATTTATTTTCTGTGAGTGTGTGGCATGCACATGCCACCGTGTTGTGCATGTAGAAAGAAGGTTAAGCATAGTCTTTGGGTGTCAGTTAGCTCCTCCGCCATGAAGGCCCTGGGGATTGAACTCAGGTTGTCAGCTTGGCAACAAGTGCCCCTCCCACTGAGCGGTCCCACGCTGGCCCCTCGCACCCCTGAAACATCATAGGGCCTGTGCAGGCTGGTGCCCAGTAAACACCCGTAAGTCTTGCTGAGATGAATGAAATCTGGGCTCCCTAGTGAGGAGCGGTCTTTGGGGATACCTAGGTGTACTGGGACACAGGCCTTCTGGAGACCTGCTGCCCAGGATGGGCTCCCCCAAACCCATTCTCCTCATCCCTGTTTTGTATCTGGGAGCAGAATTGGAACAGAAGGAAGTCAGGGAAAGCAGGCCTGGGGTGGTGGTGGGGGGGGGGGACTGCCCTACTTTGAGATGGAGCTCATCCTGGGTGAGTCTGATGCCTCCCACCGCAGACGGCACACTCGTGAGCTCAGTAAAGAAGTCAGCTTTCTGCCAGGCAGTGGTGGCACACGCCTTTAATCCCAGCACTCGGGAGGCAGAGGCAGGCGGATCTCTGTGAGTTCAAGGCCAGCCTGGCCTACAGAGCTAATCCAGGACAGGCCCCAAAGCTACAGAGAGAAACCCTGTCTCGGAAAAAAAAAAAAAAAGAAGTCAGCTTTCCCTTGCAAAACCCACCTAAGAGGGACCAAATCTGAAGGGCACTTACTGCCTTTCAGCTGGGAAGTTCAAGGGTCCAGTTAGGTTCATAGGTAGCCCCATTGGCTACCCCACCCCGCCACTACTTTGCTCTCCACAGCCCAGGCTGGCTCCCTATCTCATCAACCCCCTCAGAGTGGGAAGCCTTCCTGTCATTCCCCCAGAGCCAGTGGGAGTCTTGAGACACTCTTCTGATAGGCTAGGCTTGAGTCACCTCGCTGACTTCTGAGCCAATCGCTGGCTGGAGAGCTGTAGAACCCAGAGGGCTTGCTCTGAGCTGAGTGTCCAGACGGAATTCCTTGTCCTCTAGGTGAGTTGCTGCCCCCATAAGGAAGCAGAGGCCTGGGAACCAGAACGGCTGGTGTGGTGATTGGCAGATGGCAGAAGAACCTTTCCTTCTGGGCCCACATGACTAGTGAATCGGCAGCAGTCACGTTGACTTATTCCAAGAAGCCAGCCATGGTCCCGGGCTCCCGCTGGCTTTTTTAGGGGCTATACTTAGAACAGATGTATCCAGAAGGGAGCAGGCAGAGAGAGAGAGAGAGAGAGAGAGAGAGAGAGAGAGAGAGAGAGAGAGAGCGAGCGAGAGAGTCTGCAATGCAGAAGTCATCCCACCAGCTACTCTAAAAATCCCAAGCGTGAAACCAGAAGCTACCTGGGTGCCGAACAGTGAGTGCCTGGTGGTCCTCTTCCTCTGCATATGTACTGGCTGATGTATCCTGCAGGGAGAAGCAGTGAGCTCCCCCACCCCACCCCCACAGTGCCCAGAGACGAGTACACCCTGTCCCGACATTCTAGCCGCAAGTGCACCTGCTCCTCCGGGAGCCCCACACGCCCCCCTTGCAAGCTGCATTTCTGTAGCAGACAGGTCCAAGTCCAACAGGGGTGAAACAAAGGTCTAAAATGGACCGTGGCGATGGTTGCACAGCTGTGTGAAAAGACCAAACCCACTGAATTGTAGAGTATCTGAATTCCATTACAGTGGAAGCTGTTACATAAACACATCAGCCCGGAGCCGGCCCGGAGCCTTGGGGTATGCAGACGATGATGGTGGTTGCTCATGAGTGCGAAGCTGGGGGAAGAAGGTGGATTTCTAGTTTCACCCAGTGTCACCGAGCTGTGTTTATTGGTGGCATCTGTCAGAGCTGGGCCCTGGGCACAGCGAGCTGTGAAATTAAAAGCTGCTGCTCAGTCAGGCTTGTTGCCCAGGGGTCTGTATCAAGCCCAAACTGCTCCCGCACCAGGAGAGGGCGTTTCTCAGGGGAGCTTTGTGGGGACTAGGACAAAGGAGCCTGGGGGTGGCCAAGATCTGAGGGCTGTGGCATGGCCTTGCAAGGCTCTGGGGAGGTGGCAGGGAGACCTCTTGGTTGCTTGTTAAGCAGAAAGTCTGAGGATCTGGCTAACTGCCTTTACTGTTAGGAAATTGGAGCCAGGGTCTTTTAGATGCTAAAAGGCAAAAGGGCTGCGTTGGGGGCTGACTGGGAGCTGGAGACAAAGAAGTCAATGTCTTATCCTGATCCCCTCTGTCACCTCTGTGTTGGTGGCATTTAGAGTCACTGCTGCTTTTTCCCTTTTTCTCTCTTTCTCGTAATTTTTAACCATGTGTAGGAGTATGTGTATGCATGTGGCTATGAACACGTGAGTGCAGGTGCCTGTGGAGGCTGTCCTGGCTGGTTCTGTGTGTCTCCTTGACACAAGCTAGAGTCATCAGAGAGGAGATGTCTCCATGAGATCCAGCTGTAAGGCATTTTCTCAATCAGAGATCAGTGGTGGAGGGCCCAGCCGGTGGTGGGTGGTGCCGTCCTTGGGCTGGTGGTCCTGGGTTCTATAAGAAAGCAGGCCCAGTAAGCAGCACCCCTCCGTGGCCTCTCCATCAGCTCCTGCTTCCAGGATCCTGCCCTGTTTGAGTTCCTGTCCTGACTTCCTTTAGTGATGAACAGCAATGTGGAAGCGTGAGCTGAGGAGACCCTTTCCTCCCCAGCTTGCTTTGTGGTATTTTGTTGCAGCAACAGAAACCCTAAGACAGAGGCCAAAGCTGTTGGAGCCCCTGGAAGTTGAGTTGTAGGTGGCTGGGAGACACTCAGTGTGGGTACTGGGAACTGAACTCGGGGCCTTTAGAAGAGCAGCGGGTCCTCTTCCTAACCACTGAGCTCTCTCTCCAGCTCCTCTTTCTTTATATCTGAGACAAGGGTCTCAATATGTTGTCCAGGCTGGCCTTGAACTCAAGATCCTCTTGTCACAACCTTCTGTGTGTGGGGATTACAGGCGTGTGTCACCAGGCCTGGCTTCAGGCGACCTCTCTCAGTCGCCACAGTTCCTGGACATGATTACACTTACGATGTTACCTGCCTTCGGTAGAGGAGGGTAGAGGTGACAATGTAGAGCCATGTCAGCTGCACTCCATAGACTCTTTTTCCTTTTTGCAAAGAGAGCCTTAGCATCCCCTTCCCTGACGGCAGATCCGCATGGTCCCCTCTGTTGAGACGGGCTCATTATATAGCCCAGGCTGGTCTTGAACTCACAAGTGATCTGCCTGCCTCTGCCTCCTGAGAAAAATGAAAACCAGATTTCTATCCCTAATGGGGTGGTGGAACTGTTTTAGGTAGTGTAGTCAGGGAAGGCCTTTGGGTGGAAGTGGAGTCTGAACCTCAATTCGGGACCCCAGAGCCTAGCAGGGAAAAAAGAGTAGGAGCCAGAAGGACAGCATGTGCAAAGGACCTGTGTCCGTCTGTGAGGCTGCCACGTGATACCACACACTGGGCATCTTAACACACAGGCGGGGCTGGAGAGATGGCTCAGTGGTTAAGAGTACTGGCTACTCTTCCAAAAGACTCGGGTTCACTTCCCAACACCCACACGGCAGCTCACAACTGTCTGTCACTCCAGTTCCAGGGTATCCAACACCCCCAAACAGACATACATGCAGGTAAAAACACAGTGCACATAAAAGTTAAGATTGGAAATGAAGCTTGGTGGTAGAGTGTCCCTAATGCTCAAAGTTGAAGTCTTACCTCCTTAAAACAAATGAACAAATAAAATAAATAAAAAAAACAAAACAAAAAAAACCCCAGGCATTTCTTTCCTGTGGCTTTGAGGGCTGGAAGTCTGTGATCTAGGTATCATCAGTGCTGGTTTCGGGCCTCTCTCCTGGTTTACAGATGGCTACCTTCCCATCATCCTGTGTTCTGTGTGGTCTTCCTTCTGTGCTCTGGTCTTCCGGGCCTTTTTCTTACAGAGACAGTAGCTCAAAGACCGTCGATGAAGGCTTCACCCGTGTGTCCTCTTAACCTGAGTTACCTCTCCAGATGCAATCATGCTGGAGGGCCCAGGGGGATTCGGCTCCAGCATAGGAATCTGAGCACATAGTTCAGTCCGTCATAGGCCCTAGGTAGCGTTAGGCTTGGAGTATCTCAGTGCTGGGGAGCTAGATGAGGATGTGTTTGTTCTGTAGGTCACAGAACGGGTCCCTGGGCTAATCTGCAAGTAGTGTGTTTGGGTTTCTGTGCCTCTGCAGGAAGAGATGAGGTCTGGTTTGAGTCCATTTCTTATTCCAGCTACAGGGCTGAGGTTAGGAAGCAGAAGGGTGTCTGCATTTCTTGCTTCATCTGAGCTTTCTTTCTCTCCTTCTCACCAAGGATCAAAGGCTGGTGGGTGTCCCACCATTACGTCTCCACGTTCCTGTCTGGAGTGATGCTGACGTGGTGAGTCCTCCCTCCCTGTGGAGCCAGAGCTAGGGGCTGGTACCGGGGGAAGGGGTCCTCGGAACGGCCTGGCGGGTCAGGAACAAAGCAAGTGTGAACTGAAAAACTGGGTTAGAGGCCTAGCTGCCAGGGTCCTGCCAAGACAGCCCGGAGCTTTCTTCAGACTGTTTCACAGTTTCGGTTGGCTGGGGCAGAGGTGACAGGGAGCGGCATGAGGAATCAGAGTGATCTTCATGTCCCTTCATTTTAGAAAGGGTGATGGGTGTGACCTGGTCAGCTCAAGGACAAAGGACAGGAATCTGGGACTCGGTTTTACCTTTGAATATTTTCTTCCCTTTCTGTTGGAATGAAAGCAAAAAAAAAAAGGGGGGGCGGGGTATGAATGAGTGTCTGGTTTTACAGCATGTCCCACCTGTGTGCGTGCGTGCGTGCGTGCGTGTTGTTTTTGTTTTCCAGGCCTAATGGACTCATTTATCAGAAGTTTCGAAATCAGTTTTTAGCCTTCTCCATTTTTCAGAGTGAGTGCTCAAGCCCAGCTTGCGGGGGAGGGACCTGGTTTCCCAAGGGATTTTACTGAGGAGGAGGTCTCCCCAGAAAGATGTCCATCCTGGCCTGTGTGTGGAGGGGAGGGAAGAGAGTCCTGGCCAGAAATCTAGATCTGCCCCCACCACAGTCTCTCGCCCTTGTCTGAACACGCTTTATCCCTTACAGTACGGACAGACTGACATGTCATGACCCATGAAAGCACCAGCCAGAGTAGAAACCTCTGGAATTTTCCTAGGCTTGCAGTAGGCGCTTAATAAATGCTTTTGGGAATGCAAGCTATGTAAGATGACGATGCCGGGAACGGCATGCAACGTTGAGGTGCCTGGGAAGTGGCTCCCGTGCTGAGGGCGACAGCCGCTGGAGTGAGGTAGTGACAGAGAAGCGTGGCTGTGGTGCCTTATTAAAATAAAAAAGTAGGTCGCCAGGGTGCTCTCTCTGCCCTTCTGCTCAGCCCACCCACCAGCCTGCATTTGATAAGGACGTTCGTTGGCCTTGGGGGGCAGAGACCGTGGCTATGTTTTCCTTGAGCCCGGGCACTGTGCTCCCCCTACAGGCTGTGTTCAGTTCCTACAGTACTACTACCAGAGGGGCTGCCTCTACAGATTGCGAGCCCTGGGGGAGAGGAACCACCTGGACCTCACGGTGGGTGAGTAACTGGGCAACAGCTAGAGTTGGGAAGACTGATCTACCTCCCTGCAGTAGAGACGCGTCATCAGAAGGGCACAAGACTTCCAGGCCTCAAAACTGGGGCCGCCATTTGTTTTTGTTTTTGTTTTGTTTTGAGACAGGGTTTCTGGGTGTTGTTTTGGTGCCTGTCCTGAATCTTACTCTGTAGACCAGGCTGGCCTCGAACTCACAGAGATCTGCCTGGTTGTGCATCCTAAGCCATTTCTTACCCCACTTGCTGTTTACAGTTCATCAGGAATCCTGTTTCAGCCACCGAGGGTGGTAGCAACAGAGTGCTAGGCCTTTCAACCTTACCCTTGAAATGCCTGTATTTTAAAAAAATAATTAATTTGTATTTTATGTACATTGATGTTTTGCCTATGTATATGTTTGTAGGAGCATCTCCTAGAACAGGAGTTACAGACAATTGTGAGCTGCCATGTGGGTGCTAGGAATTGATCCTGGGTTCTCGGGAAGAGCAGCCAGTGCTCTTAACCACTGAGCCATCTCTCCAGCCCAGAAATGCCTGTGTTTTTTTGTCTGAACTTTATACTATACACAATATTAGGCTGGGTGTGGCGGGACATATCTGAAGTCCCAGCTGTTTGGGAGGCTGAAATGGGAGGATCACTCGAGCCCAGAAATTTTGAGGTCAGCCTGGACAACAGAGAGACCCTGTCGTTTTTTTAAGTAGCCACACACACTTAACCTCTTAACTCTTCCCACAGAAGGGTTCCAGTCTTGGATGTGGCGGGGCCTCACCTTCCTCCTGCCTTTCCTTTTCTGTGGCCATGTGAGTCCCCCTGTGTGTGGGTACCCCTGTCAGGGATGACCCCTGGGAACAGAAGATCTTGGGGGCTCCCCTCTCTCACAAGGTATCTGGGATGAGATAGCCGCCCATACAAATATGACCCCAACCTAGCTCCCTGTTGGGGTGTATTTAATGTCTGAGCCTGGGAGTCTGGGGGCTTCTCCACTGCTTGCAGCCATAGTGGAGGATAGGGCCAGTCCCTCCGAAGGAGTAGCGGAAAGCCTCAGGTACACACACTGCCCCCTCCCACCCCGCCACATCCTCATTTCCTCAGGATCTAGGGACAGTAAGGAGAGAAGCGAGAGCTGGCCCTTCAGACTTGTGGTGTTGTGTCTGAGACACTTGTGATTCCATGGGCTGGGGGTGTCAAGTGTTGCGGGTAGTTGGTCTTGGATGCTGGGGAGCCTGGTCCATCTCCCCGGCTTTCCACATGGATCTGCAGGGAAACTGATGGGTGAGTGGTGCCTGTCTCCCTGTCTCCAGTTCTGGCAACTCTACAATGCCGTCACATTGTTTGAGCTCTCCAGCCAGGAGGAATGCAAAGAATGGCAGGTACATGCCTACATCTGTCTGTCTGTCTGTCTGTGGGTAGGGAGTAGGGGGCTTGAAGAGGGCTGGGCTGCCTTGGGGAGGACCCTTCCGATCCCTTTTTCCTTGGTTCTCGGTTCCTGCTGCCCAGAGTTCTCGGCTGCTGGGGCCTGAGAGGAAGTAGTAGGAAGGAATTCAAGAGGTCAAGGGGCCCCTCAGTGTCGTTGAACCAAAGAGGATTATTACCCCACTCCTCCAGAACCCCACCTGACCTTGGGGACTCACCTTATCCACTTACCTCCATGCTTTGCTGGTCCTTTCTATGGCTGTGCTGAGGGTCTGGGGCTGAGGTTAGAGGCAGGTTCTTCCGCAGGGGAATTGACTTGAGCTTCTTCTTCCTCCCCCGCCCCGGGCATTGCTGGGTGCTGCACCTCTGAATGGACCAGGTATTTGTGCTGGCACTCACCTTCCTCATCCTCTTCCTTGGCAATTTCCTGACCACACTCAAAGTCGTGCACACCAAACTCCAGAAGAACAGAAACAAGACAAAGCAGCCATGAGCCTCCGGACTCTTGGGCCTGGGGGTCTTGGGACTTAAGGAGACTGCTGGAGATGGCAGTCAGCAGCCTAGCTGCCGGGCACTGGCAGCAGCATCTCAGGGGCCAGCAGCAGCACTGGGAACAGGACCAAGGCCCTGGTCCCTGGCCAGACATGAGGAATGTGAGGGCCGCCTGCGCGCACAGTATTGACCTGCCCCGGCGCCCTATTTATAACGTATTTAACGCCAGGTCTTCCCCCACGTCCCTGGAATCTGCGGCCCTCCCTGCAGCTCTGGGTAATGGCAGCGGCCATACCTGTGTCTGTCTTCCAGGGAGGGGCGAAAAGCCTCAGGGAAACCCCTCTTCCTGCTCCTTTCATTTGAACCCCTCCCTGGGGTTTAGATGTGCCTCCCAGGGGTTGGCTTTAGCTGACCTGCTATTTACTGTGGCCCAGGCACCGGGTGGAATGAAACTTTAAGCATCTTGTGGAGTCCCCTCTCCCCTGGGCCACCATCTCTTGTAAGCCCCCCACCCCATATCCCCCACCCTCTGTGATGAGGGAGTATTTAAGTTCTCAGAGAACCTGCCTGTCCTGTCTCTTGCTTTGTGTCTCCTGGATCGCCTGCCTGCTGGCCAGTGGGGACAAGGGGCACAACCTACTCAGGACCTAGAGAGATCTCTTCCCCTCGGAGCAGGTGGCAGGGTTTTAAGGATGGTCTCCACCAGAGGGCGCCCAGCCTCTGGGTTGTTTGCGTTCCAGTGGGCTCTTAGGGGTTTCTCACTGCTGCCCTTCATCATTCAGCCTTCCTTCACAAGCTTGCTGTGAGTCCTTGACATAGGACCTAGACCCAGTGTGACTGGAACTTAAGCCGGTAGGAGGTCATTCATCCCCTGCCTCTCTCCACCTCAGAGGGTCTTGTATGTGTGGGAAGGGCTGTTGCGACCCTGTGAGACACAGGCAGCAGCCAGGGTGGAGGTGCAAACGGGTCCAGCTGAATGTTCTGCCTCTTCCCACCCATGGGCCTCCGCTGCCCGCTCAGACCCGACTTCACAGCTGGCGTCCTCGGACATGCTTCATTTGGTCCTCACAGGAGTTTTAAAATTCTTGAGTTCTGTGATAAAAAACGAGATCTCACCTCCCCCACACTGAGAGTCCACCTGAGAATCCAGATTTCTGTTTACCTTACAAAAATGGAAAGACCTGGAAACATTCCCAAAGGGCAAGATCAGGCACCAGCTCCTATTTGCCACAACCGGCCCCTCCCTTTATCCCTGCCCTACCTCTGTCCTTGGGTCCCCTGGCCTGTCCTTCACAGGTACCCAGGACTGCCCCAGATGAGGAGTCAGCAAACTTTCCCCATTAAAGCCCAGATGATGAGTATTTTAGGCTTTGTGGGCTAGTCCTGTGGTAACTCCAGCCTGCAGGTGTGGAGCGGAAACTGCCCTTGTCTAATCATGGCGGTTCAATAAAACTTTATTTACAAAAATGGGCAGTGGCCATGTGTGGCCCACAGGCTGTGGTTTGTTGACCTCTGCCCTACATACACGATAATTTATCCACAAGGCCTTGGATTTTGAGAGAACAAGAGGTCCTTGCTTGGCTCTGCAGGGGACAGCAGGGCCTTGGGGCACTTGGGGAAGGGGATCAGAAGTCTCTTTCCTTGGCAACCTGACTTTACAGGCTGAGTCAAGAGGTATTGGGACAGATGGGCCAGCCAAAGGCCATGGTTTCTTGGGAGATGCTGACTTCCTCTTCAGGGCACTAAAGCCACCTGGGATACTTGGCTTGAAACGTTCTGAACCACAGACCCTAGACTTTCTGGAAGGAATGTCAGAATTCAAGGATCTTGCTGTGGTAGACACTGGTGGTCAGCAGGTCAGTTCTGGAAAATTGTCCAGTGTAGCCAGAGACGGCCATGTCAGTTCTGGAAGGAGACAGGGACAGTCCATTCCTGAGCCCCACATCCTGGTCTACCAGGAAGAGACTGGGGTGGAAGATGAGGAACTTGACTACTTAAATGCCCCAGTCCTGGCCATTGACAGATGGGGAATGGTCTGAGGAGAGAGCCCATTTGCCCGAGTCCCCCCCCCCCCCCATGGGGGCATGGGCACTGTCCACCAGGGGTCCCCAGTGGAAGTCAGTCGGGGCTTTGGAGGTGAGACCTGGAGCAGGGATCAGATGGGAGGCCTGGCTGGCCTGAGTCTATTTTGACCTTTTGAGAGACCGTTTCTTCTCCCCTGAACATGTGTCTCAGGCCAAGACAAGAGTCTTGAGTGTGGTAGAGAGGGAGCAGCTGGTGCCAGCCCCATGTCCGGCTTGCTGCCTGTGGTCTCCTGATAGGCTGTGTCCCCGGGTTCCTGAGGGGAAGAAGGGATAGGCTGGAGGATGCTGCTGAGCCTATCTCAGGAGCTCAGGGGGACCGTGACAGAGGAACGGGCTAGGGACTCCGTGAACAGCATTGCATGCCCGCATTTGTCCACATCTCAACGCCCTTCTGAGTTCCAAGCATGAACTGGGTTTGGAAAGGGAAACACGAATGGCTGGGATAAGAAGGAGCCGTCACAAGGGCCCTCCTGTGACCTGGGGACAAGTGCCAGTCCCAGGACAGAGGAACATGGGTGGGTCTGGCGCCAGTCATTCACCATGGAACGACAGCATGAACCCAAAGGGGACAGTTCCAGAATGTTCCAGGAGTCTAGCCCCAGATGGCCAGGCACTACGGGGCTCTGATGGGGCAAAATCCCCCAGCCGGGTCCCTGGCCGCAACAGTTCCACTCGGGGCTGTCTGCCCCAGGGTCACAGCAGCAGGCAGGTCCTGTGTTTTTTCTGCCTCTGTGCTTTCTTCAGGGCACTGAGGGCCACTTTGGCAGCTTCCCTGAAGACGTCTTCCACATTCTCCCGAAACTTGGCGGAACATTCCAGATAGAGTGCGGCTTGCATCTTTTCGCAGGCAGTCATGCCCTGGGAGGGGGTGGGGGGGGGAGGCAGTATTAATTAGATGAGGGCCTGGTGCCTCCTGACCCCACACACACACACCACCCCGCCCCCAGAGTCTTAGGAGTTTGGGCTAGCTTTGGAGGCTCTCCAGAGCTGGAAAACAAGCTTGAGTGCTGGCCAGTTTGGGGTTTGCATGGCTGGATGGAGGAAACCCCTTGCTGGCCCCTACCTGCCCTCTTCCCTAGCTTTCAGCAGAAGGGGAGCTGAATTCTCCCTGGGGCTAGCTACATCTCAGGCTTCTGTTCCTTGTCAGTTCCAAATTCAATGACCGAGTTTGCTGGTGAAGTGAAATTAAAAACCTTGGTTTTACCATTATTAGTGCCTATTCCTTTCTATTTATTTGAGACAGGGTCTCACTGTGTAGTCCTGGCTGACCTGGAACTTGCTATGTAGACCAGGCTGGCCTCAAACTCAACAGAGATCCACCTGCTTCTGCTTCCTGAGTACTGGGATTAAACATGCGCATCATCGTACATAGACTATTAGTTTTTGTTTGTTTGGCTGGTTTGGTTTTTTGAGACAGGGTTTCTCTGTGTAGCCCTGGCTGTCCTGGAACTCAATCCGTAGACTGGGCTGGCCTCAAACTCAGCCCAAACTCAGATCTGCCTGCCTCTGCCTTCCTAGTGCTGGGATTAAAGGTGTGCACCACTGGGCGGTGGTGGCACATGCCTTTAATCCCAGCACTGGGAGACAGAGCCAGGAGGATCTCTGTGAGTTCGAGGCCAGCCTGGGCTACAGAGTGAGTTCCAGGACAGGCTCCAAAGCTACACAGAGAATCCCTGTCTCGAAAAACAAAAAAGGTGTGCACCATATTAAGTTTTTTTGTTTGTTTTTGGTTTTTTGAATGACTCCTAAGGCACTCCGGTTGAGAAGACCAAGGCCTAGGTGGTCTCTGGCTATGGCCGTTGAGGGGTCGTAGACCTGAGTGGTAGCTGGGACCCTGGCCCACCTGTGTGTAGGTGATGGGCTCCAGCTGGGCTGCCCGGAGCTTCCGCAGCTGCTCCTTATCCTTCCTCAGGTCTGTCTTGCAGCCGATGAGAACCATGGGGGTCCCTCTGCAGAAATGGGTGACTTCAGGGAACCACTGAGGAGGGAGAAAGCAGGGTTATCAGGGCAGAGGCCACTCCGCAGCTGACCCTTACTCTCAAGAGGCAGGCGGGACTTTACCTTGATGAGGACGTTGTCGTAGCTGGTGGGGTTCATGACATCATAGCAGATGAGAACGAGGTGTGTGTTCTGGTAGGACAGAGGCCGCAGCCGATCATAGTCTTCCTGCCCTGAAACCAGAGAGGGATCAGAGACACGAATCCCGGTCTGCCTGGGGTCCCTGTCTGGCCTTTGATGGGGTGGGGGTGACTTCAGGGCCCAGTTTCCTTATTTATAAAATGGACAGGATGGGGAAAGAGGGAATAGATTATATGCCGTCAAACCCAGGCGCTCAGCTGGACTGACACCGAGAACTGTAAACTGCAGCCATACTGCCGGGGATGGAGTGCTCCCTCGCCTGTCAAGCCTAAGACTCAGATCTGGGATTTTTGCCATTCAGATATCTCCAAGGCCCAGAAGCATGTGCTGGCTCCAGAGTCCCTGGTTCTGGGGCAGCTGCCTGGATTCCTCCTGCCCATTCTTGCAAATGCTAATGAGGGAGGAACAGGCACATTGATCACCACATCTCACAGGGGCAGTCAGCTCCCATCGCACCTGGCGCCCACCTGGGGACATGTGACAGTCCCAGACACAGCCTTCCATAGGCCCAGTCCAATCAGAACCTAGAAGCTGGGCCTGGGTGTGGCTCATTATGCTTTTGTGAAATTTGGAGGCAACTCAATTTTTATATTTTATTTATTTTCTTTCTTTCTTTTTTTTGGAGCTGAGGATCAAACCCAGGGCCTTGTGCTTGCTAGGCAAGCGCTCTACCACTGAGCTAAATCCCCAACCCTGTTACTTGTTTTCAAGGGTTTCTCTGTGCAGCCATGGGTGTCCTGGATCTCCCTCTGTAGACCAGGTTGGCCTCAAACTCGGAGATCCACCTGCCTCTGCCTCTCGGGTGCTGGGATTAAAGGCATGCACCACCAACGCCCAGTTTGACTTAGGATCTTACTATGCAGCCCTGGCTAGCCTAGAACTTTCTATATGGACCAAGCTAACCTCAAACACACAGCCACCTGCCTGCCTCTGCTGGGTGTACCTGCCTGTGTGCTGGGCATACCATCATGCCCGAAACGTGTTTTGTCAACAGTTTTAAACTTCCAGAGACACTACACGGGAGAATGCAGAGAACCCTTCTGAGCGTCACTGTGTGCGGCTCACCTGCTTGATCAACTACACACAGGCAACCCCCCATTGCTCTCACAACAGAGTGCCTCAGAAGAGCTTGTCCTGGTCCTGGCACCAAGCCCAGCAAGTCACACTGACACACACACACACACACACACCCGTCCTTGATCCATGCTGAATTCAGGTTTCACCCACTTCACCAGAAAGGTCAGCTTTTTTTCCTAGTCCAGGAACCAGCCGGGATTACACGCCACCTTGAGTCACCATGCAAAGGTTATCTTTTTTTTTGGAGCTGAGGATCGAACCTAGGGCC